TTTTTTTTTTCTTTATTGATTTATTTATTTATTTTATTGAATTTTAGAGAGAGATAGAAACATCAATGAGAGAGAACATCGATTGGCTGCCTCCTGCATGCCCCCCACTGGGGATTTGGCCCACAACCTGGGCATGTGCCCTGAAAGGGAATTGAACCGGTGACCTCTTGGTGTATGGATCGACGCTCAACCACTGAGCCACACCGGCTAGGCTGCTTCAGACTTTCTTAAAATCTTTCAAACAAGTAGCAGCTGGCCTCAGCACATGCACTATACCTCTCTCTAAGTGGCCCCAGGCCTGGCATTAGCAGCAGCCCACCTTGGTTATAGCTTGGCTTCTCCTTGGCACCTTCAAGCCTAACACAAGTAGCAGCCATCTGCAGATCACTCTGTAACGGGAGCTGGGTGGCCCCAGGCAGGGCACAGGCAGTGGCTGACTTTGCACCTCCTGGGAGGCCCCAGAGCCAGTGCACCTGGTGGTCAGCTTCAGTCATGCCAGATTATAACCCTACTGCCACCATGAGTGACACACTCAAGGGGTGAATTCAGTGAGCACCAAAGCTCTACTGAAGCAAGTCCTGCTCCACGGGGTCAGCTCCTACACAGCAGCTCTTCTGCTGTAGTCGCAAGTGATCCTCACAACCGATTGGCCTAGGGGTCAATCCCTCCCAGTGATGTCAACAGCAATCAAGGCTCATCTACAACAAGACAGTGTACATGGCCCACACAGGGGCACACATGGAGTACACAGCTCAGGTGACTGGAGAGCCTGAGCCACTGGGCTCTACAGGACACCTACTATACAAGGCCACTCTACCAAGTCCATGAGATATAGCAGATCTATCTAATACATAGAAACAAACACAGGGAAGCAGCCAAAATTCAGAGACAAAAAAAAAAAAAAAATGTTCCAAATGAAAGAACAGGAGAAATCTCCATCAAAATATCTAAATGAAATGGAAGCAAGCAAACTATCAGATACAGAGTTCAAAGCAATGATTATAAGGATGCTCAAGGAACTTAGTGAGAACATCAACAACATAAAAAAGGACCTGTCAGAAATGAAGGATACACTAAGTGAAGAATAATTTACAGGGAATCAGCAGTAGACTAAAGGATGCCAAAAATCAAATCAGCAATCTGGAATATGAGGAAACAAAAAAACACCCAATCAGAACAGCAAGAAGAAAAAAAGAATCCAAAAATATGAAAATAGTATAAGCAACCTCTGGGACAGCTTCAAGTACACCAATATTTGCATCATGGGGGTGCCAGAAGGAGGAGAGCAAGCAAGAAATTGAAAACCTATTTGAAAAAATAATGACAGAAAACTTCTCTTACCTGATGAAAGAAATAGACATACAAGTCCAGGAAGCACAGAGAGTCTCAAACAAGATGATTCCAAAGAGGCCCACACTAAGACACATCATAATTAAAATGCTAAAGGTTAAAGACAAAGAGATCATCTTAAAGGCAGCAAGAGAAAAGCAGTTATTTACCTACAAGGGAGCTCCCCTTAGACTGTTAGCTGATTTCTCAACAGAAACTTTGCAGGCCAGGTGGGAGTAGCAAGAAATATTCAAAGTGATGGAAAAGCAAGGACTTGCAACCAAGATTACTCTACCCAGCAAAGCTGTCATTAAGAATTGATGCTCAGATAAAGAGCTTCTCAAACAAGAAAAAGCTAAAGGAATTTATCACCACTAAACCAATATTACATGAAATGTTAAAGGGTCTTCTTTAAGAAGAAGAAAAAAATAATAGATCAAACACATGAACAATAAAATGGCAATAAATACATCTATCAACAGTTCAATCTAAAAATCAAAATAGAGGAACAAGCAGAACAGAAACAGCCTGATAGATATAGAGAACATTTTGATGGTTACCAGATGGGAAGGGGGGTTGGGAGGATGAGTGAAAAAGGTGAAGAGATTTAGAAGTACAAATTAGCAGTTACAGTGTAGTCATGGGGATGTAAAGTGCAGCATAGAGAATATAGTCAATAATAGTCTAATAACTCTGTATGGTGTCAGATGGGTATGAAATTTGTCAGGATGATCACTTAGTAAGTTTTATAATGTCTACTCACTGGGACGTACATAATATTGTTTGTCAACTGTAATTGAAATATAAAAATGATTTTAAAAAATAAATGAAAATAATTTATATTTTTAAGTTATAAAACCAAGGTTTTTTATTTTTAAGAAACTTAATAAAGACTAAACAAAGAGAGAAAACAATATTAAAAAGGCAACAGAAAGTTACATTTGTTTAAGCAATGGTTATTCTAAAAGGTTTTATCCTGTAAAAGCTACATTTAGGCCTGCGAGTGCCCCCTGCTGGTATGCCAAGGTAGCCCTTTTCAGACCACCTCCAGCACTGGGATGTCTCCAGAAAACACTTGAATCTGCCTCTCTTGTCTTTTCCCCTCTTACACAGCCACATGACTTTCAGCTTTTAAGTTCAACCCAAATCTTTAGTGCACATTCCACACAAATACAAATTTTTACAAAATATATTTATTTAAAAATATTTGAAGAAGTTCTGATTGCTACAAACCTTCAGTGAGTGAGAAATCAGCTTTCAATATTTATGAAATCTCAAAGACAAGGGCCCTGGTGGAATAAATGTGGGCATCTCAATGAGTAGATCAGCTGAAATTTTTTCCTATGAGGCAGAGTGGTTAAAGGACAAACTTTATTTGTTAAACAACAAATAAAGACTACTTGGAATTGGACATGGGCTCCACCATTTACTTAACCTTTCTGTGTGTTTTCAGTTCCCTTGGCTATAAACCAAGGATAATAAGCCCTGGCCAGGTACTCAGTTGGTTAGAGCATTGTCCTTATATGCAAAGGTTGTGGGTGCGATCCCTGGTAATGGCACATACAAAAAGCAACCAATGAATGCACAAATAAGTGGAACAACAAACCAGTCTTTCTTTCTCTCTCTCTCTCTCTCTCCCTTCCTCTCTCTCTAAAATCAATCAATCAATAAAAAATCTTAAAAAACAAAAACAAGGATAATAATAATACCTGAGTTGTTATGAGGACTAAATGGATTATATATGGAAAGTAATTACAACAGTGCCTGGCTCAGAATAAGCTCTATAGAAAGGTTTGCTATAAGGTAAATAAATGTGTAATCATTATATTGTAGGCTTGAAAGTAATATGCTACTGTATACCAACTATACTTTAATAAAAACTTATAAATAAATAATAAAAATGAAGATAAAAGAAAAAGGTTTGCTAAAATAAGCTGGAATTCAATATGGTGGGATGCCAGGCCCCCTTCTGACATGCTGGCCCTGCCCAGAGCATGGAGGGCGTATGCCTGTTTGGCACTGCTGGTCATCTGAGAGGATGAGAGATTGGCCTCGGTGTTGATTACAGTTGTGCTGCATGTTGTGTTGCCTGTTGTTCCAAGACAGTGGCTCTCAAATTTATTCCACCAGGGCCAAAGCATATTCTCCATAGCCCTTGTCTTTGAGATTCATAAATATTGAAGGCTGACTTCTCACTCACTGAAGGTTTGTAGCAAACCCTGCATCAGACTGAATTGCAGGGTTTGCTAAACACAGATTGCTGGTCCCCAGGCCCAGAGTTCCTGATACAGCAGGTTTGGGGCCTGAGAATGTGCATGTCTAGTAAATTCCCAAAGGATGCTGATGACACTGTTCTGGGGACCACACTTTGGGAACCACTGTTCTAGAGCAATGGTTCCAGTCCTGGCTGTACATTAAACCACCTGCGAACTTGTAAAAATGCTGTTGCCAGGCCCCAGCCAGCCAGCCATCATTCGTTTTTACATATGCCCAGGTGATTCCGATGTATAGCCAGTGTTGAGAACCACAGCTCTACAATTTGACTATGCTGCTGAACTGGATTACCCCATACTCTACAGTTAAAGAAATTGAAGCTTGGTGCAGTGTTTCCCACTGAGGTGCTTGTTATACACTCTGATTCAGGGTCCCTACCCCAGATTTACTGCATCCATCTTTTGGGGTGAGGTCCAGGAGTCTGCACTTTAATTAGTGCTTCTGGAGCCTGTAGACACATTTATTTTTTTGCATAAGACACATAGTAAGTGATGGAGTTCTCATCTCGCGTCTCTGATCTAAGCAGCCGGAAATGTTATTATAAAAGAAAGCTTTGCATTTCATCTGTTTTAAACTTTTTTCTGAGCTTATTCACTCAAGAAAGGGCTTCATATACTTACATACTTATAAATACTATCCCTATACTAAGTATTTTTATATACACAGCAGACCCTGTGACAGCAACTGGATAATAAATTCCATTCAAATGCTACTAAGAGGTCACCTTTATTTCATTCACCTATTCTAGGATTTGAACCTAGAAAGAAAGAGTTAGCAAATGTAGTTAAAAGCACAGCTCTGGAGTCACACTGCCTGCTTCCTTCCACCCCTGATTACTGTGCAACCTGAGGCAAGTCATTTAACCTCTCTGATTTACAAGATGGTGGTGAGGATGAGTGCATTAATCCATATAAAAGTGCTTAGAACAGTGCCTGGCAATAATGCTTTCTATTATGATTTTTTGTTTTTGTTATCTGCACAGCAGACCTACATGCTCAAAAATGTATTTTATAAACTTAAAAAGTTGTTTTGTGCAGAGTACATTGTAGGAAATCCATAAAACAAAAATACACAAACTAGAAAGTATTTTTCAAAAAATGCATGGGGTGTAGAAGATAATCACTAAAGTCTTTTATGTTCTTAAATTTTTTTATGTAAAAACTCAGAAAAGTATTTCTCCTAGCCCTAATGGATGCTACAATAAACATGCTATACTTCTCCAACCGCCCTTCAGTTGACCTAAACTACATGGAAGAGCTTCTGAAAAGGAGACTTCTGGCTTATTATTAAAAGTAGAATGACTTTGGTTACTTAAAGAGGGAAAAACGACAGATTTATCAAAATTATAATGTATCAATTACATACTTTTACTCACAGACCTGGTTTTGTTGAATGTGGTATTTTTTACTTTTGCCTTGTTCCGGAACTTCAATCTGCTAAAGAGATTAGTAAAATGTCAGTCAGCACAGCCTGGAGAAGCAAGCACACAGATAATCTGTTTAATTAGCAACATTTCCCTTTCCACAGTAATCCTCTTAATGGCCCGAAGGCTGCCAGTCAGCAGGCACATCTGTACATTCCCCTTTCTTTTGCAAGTGTCTAAATGATACAGTAATTGAGTTGCCAGAAGTCAAGTGAAGCTTAATGTTTAACCTTGGTAGTTGACTATAGATATTGTGATTTAACACAGATTCTAAAGGGACTTCACGCAAAATAAAATGAACTTCTAAATCCTGAAATAATCCACAGAGCTCCGATCCATATGCTGAATCAAAACCAAATGGGGCTTTGGTTAATCAAAAGGCACCTTTAGTCAAGGGAAGAATCATGCAGAAGTTCAAGACACTTGAATCTACCTCATGTACCTAAGGTAAAAATATAACAGCCAGGGTCCCAACTGGAAACAGATGGCGCCCTCTTGGGGTGATTGAGGGAAGTTTTAAAAAGGAACTATTTAATGGAGGTGGGGACAGGATTAAAGTAATCAATGAAGGGATGTTGGGGCCCCCAGGGACTAGGGTGTGGTGCTGATTCTTCCCACCTCTGGGCAAGGAGAGCAGGTGGTACTGGAAGGGGAGTAGCTACAGCTGCAGGGAGAAGAGGCCACCCACAGGAGTGTAACCCCAGGTACAGGGCTGTGCCAACTGCAGAGATCCAGCAGGGACAGAGTGGAGAAATAAATACCCCATTCTCCTCCAACAAATAAGCTCCTTGACGCTGGGTCCTCAGTTTCTAATCATTGCATGGTAAATACAGGCATTCATACATGACAGAATGAGGGTGAATTAATTAAGTCATTTGTTATTGCTTATTATTCATGAGATTATAGAGCAGGACATTCCAAATAAGTGGGATAAATACCACAACATCACAAAAGAACATTATCGCCCTGGCCAGTTAGGGTCAGCGGTTAGCGCGTTGGCCCAATGACCAAAGAGTTGCCAGTTTGATTCTGGTCAAGGGCACATACCTTGGTTGAGGTTCAGTCCCAGCCCTGGTCGGGGTCATGCGGGAGGCAGCCAGTCAATGCGTCTCTCTCACATCGATGTTTCTCTCTCTCTCTCTCTCTCTCTCTCTCTCTCTCTCCCCCACTCTCTCTGAAGATAAATGGAAAAATATCCTCGGGTGAGGATTAAAAACAAACCAAAAAACATTATCTTTTCTATTATTATTATTGATTTTTAGAGATAGAAGAAGGGAGAGGGAGAGAGAGACAGAGAAACATTAATGAGAGAGAAACATCGATTGGCTGCCTCCTGCATGCCCCCTGCTGGGGATTGAGCCTGCAACCCAGGCCTGTGCCCTGACCAGGAATCGAACCAGCAACCTCTTAGTGAATGGGTTGATGCTCAACCACTGAATATTATCTTTTAACCATAGTTAACTTAATTTTATTATAAAACATATTGCTTTGAAATATGCATAGGGCTTCTTTTAGGTTAGTGTTCTTAATAGAAAAATTCATATATTTGAGACCTATCTCAGCAATTTAAAAATAAAGTCAGTCATTAAGTTTCAGTAATGAGAAAGTAATGCTCTGATACTTTGTGTTTTACTATTCTTATTACTATCATTTTACAATATTACATTATAGTTTGTAAGTAGTCTTGTGCAATGAAATACAGAGTTGGGGGAAAATCTGAAATTTTTCTCCCTCCTAATCCCATTCCCCTCTTCCCTATATCAAAATAAATAAAAAAAGAACCCACTACAGATGTTAAGAGATTTCTGATATAATCTGTTTCCTTAACTTATTTCAATAAGGCTTTAAATATTTTACATACTAGAAGGGATAAAACTTGGGGGGGGAGCTAATCCTTTTTCGTGATGCAGTATTCCTGCACTTTCTCCTTCATCGACAGAGTCGTTTCTGTTAATAATCTAACCCCTTAGTCCCACATCGTAATCTCCTCCTGGATCTCTAAAACTTTGTCCTCCTGCTATGTTCAGGCCATTCTTGGTCCAGCTGTAATATGTCTGTACTTCTGTTTTTCTGAACTGGACAAGCTCTTCAAAGGCTGACATTGCTGGGACCTCAGACAGCAGTGCCCTTGGTGTGTCCCCCCATTACCACATAACAGGAACACACTTCAAAGCACCCCTCTCTGAGCCCAGCGGCCTTTTACATGGTCTGATCTTACCCAAAATGAAAGAAAAGTGGAGAGAAAAACGGTCTGTATGGTGATGGTAGTTTGGGAAGGGGTGAGAGGCAAGCAGGAAGCAGTAGGCCATCCTGTTCTCTAAACTTTTCAGAAAACCAACTGGGAGAGCCAGACCCACTTTACAGTGAACCTATGAAAAAATATATAAACTAATAAAACAATCAAAGTATGGATTATTGAACATATAAAATGTTTTCTTAAGATATTTTAAAAATTGATTTTAGAGAGAGAAAGGGAGAGAGAGAGAGAAATCCATCAATGTGAAGGAAACATCAAGTGGTTGTCTCCCACATGTGCCCCGACTGGGGATCCAATCGGCAACCTGGGTATGTGCCCTGACCAGGAATCGGAATCACCACCTTTCGGTGTATGAGACAACGCTCCAAATGACTGAGCCACATTGGCCAGGGCAACATAAAATGTTTTTTAATTCAGAAAATTATTCACCAGCATATTCTTGTTAGCTCTCATGTATTCATATTATGGTTCAATATACAAAATTGTAACAACGATACACTTTGAGAAACTCATTAGGAACACATCTGTTGCATAAAATACATGTTTTCTTTTCTTGGTGTTTTTTATATTTTTTATATTTGCTGGTAGCTTACACCATTATCCATTCTGTCCTTCTTTCTTAGTAATGTGGGACTTGAGAAGGAATCTATCTGCCAAGAAGGACTCCTTGTGGTTATTTGGGCCCATGTTCATAATCAGAATCTAGCAGCCATTGTTTACAGAGGCTAATATACACACTGCATATTAGGGGAAAGCCACAGACTGAGCTGCCAAGTCTCCTGCGCTGCATTTCTGCATCTGGAGCCCCCCCTTACAAAGGAGTTTAGAAATCATATTTTGACCAATGGGCTGAGACCTCTCCTGTCCAATTGGAGCTGTGAAGCTATATCCTTATTTGCATTTTTACCAAACAATCAGAGAGGCTTAACAATGACCAATCTGTATGTGTAGTTTAGACCAATCAGGACAGTGCTATTTAGACCAATCAAATTGTGCAAATTTGGATTCCTTGTTAGCATAAAAATGAACTAAAGAGGGACCAAGGCTGGCCTCCTCTTTGTTTGGGTGGAGAGCACTTTCAGTTTTCAATGGAGGCTGCATTGCTCTAGATTGCAAACTGTTTATCTAAATAAAGTTTCTCGAACTCTTTCTGCACCCCAGATTGGGAATTCCTGTTGGTATTAGATTGGTGGCAGTGACCTTTCATTGACAGTAATAACACTTGAATTTATTTGGAGAGACAACAACACACCCAATAAACCAGCTCCCTTGCACCTAGGTGTGGGTCTGTGGTGTGACTCACTCTTGGCCAATGAGCCATAGGCAGAATTTTGTGTGGGACTTCTGAGATAATGTCTTAAAGAAAAGAGATGGGCCCTTCTTCATACTTTCCTCAGACTTGTTGCCTAGAATGTGGATGTAATGACTGGAGCTCAAGCAGCCGTCTTGAGTATGAGGTGAAAGCCACTGAAAATGGCAGAGCACAAGGTCTCTGGTGAAATCATGAGCCACTGCATCAGCCCTAGACTGCCTACCTCTGAGCTTCTTTTAGATGAGACAGAAACAAACTTTTCTTTTGCTGATGACACTTTTTAAAAAATATGTAGCCAAATTTACTCCTAGTATAATTTATTTTCAAATAAAACAATCCCTATAATTCTGTTCTAGCTAAAAGTAGCAAATATTAACACAATTTATTTAGACATTAGTGTAGGAGCATTTTTTATTCTTTCTGGTTTGCAGTTAATATTGCCTTTAAGAATTTAACATCACCCTGGCCGGTTTGGCTCAGCGGTTAGAGCATCGGCCCATGGACCAGAGAGTCCCAGGTTCAGTTCCCGCTATGGGCCCGTACCTCAGTTGCAGTTTGTCCCTGGCCCCAGTTGGGGTCGTATGGGTGGCAACCACTCGATGTGTCTCTCTCCCATTGATGTTTCTCTCTCTCTCTTCCTCCCTCTCTCCTTCCCGCTCTATCTGAAGATAAATGCAAAAATGTCCTCGGGTGTGGATAAAAAAAAAATTTAACATGACTTTTATATCATTGACTGTTTACATTTTTCTTTAGCACATTTGTTTGACTTGCAATTTTAATGATCTCTTCATAAACATTTCAAATCTACCTTTGAAAGCATTGCCTAAAGCTAACTAAATCAATTAACTTTAAGCTGGCATTAAAACCCAGGTCCCTGGTGATCTAGTGGCTAGGGTAAGTTGGCACTAAATTTCTTCTTTTACTCCTTTCTTTTTTTTTTTAAAATCTTTATTATTGAATGTAAAATGTATTACAGATGTTCCACATTTTTCCCCCATTGACCCCCCTCCTCCCCACTCCTGCTCCCCTCCTGCCTTTTCTCACACTATTGTCTGTGTCCATTGGTTATGCATATAAGTCCTTTGGTTTATTTCTCCCCACCCCGCCAACCCCTTTCCCTTTGAGTTTTGTCAGTCTAGCAATGAATTTGTACTTCTTAATCCCTTCACCTTTTTCACCCATTTCCTCAACCCCCTCCCATCTGGCAACCAACAAAATGTTCTCTGTATCTATGAGAATATTTCTGTTCTACCTGTTCATTTTGTTTGTAGATTCCATTGTCGATAGATATGCATTCATTGCCATTTTGTTTGTTCATATATTTTATCTTTTTCTTCAAAAAGACCCTTCATCATTTCATATAACGGTTTGGTGGTGATGAACTCCTTTAACTTTTTCTTGTCTGGGAAAGTCTTTATATGGCCATCGATTCTAAATGACAACTTTGCAGGATAGAGTAATCTTGGTTGTAGGTTCTTGCTTTTCATCATTCTGAATATTTCTTGCCACTCCCTTCTGGCCTGCAAAGTTTCTTGTGAGAAATCAGCTGACAGCCTTATGGGAACTCCCTTGTAGGTAATTAGCTGCCTTTCTCTTGCTGCTTTTAAGATTCTCTGTCTTGAACCTTTTGCATTTTGATGATGATGTGTCTTAGTGTGTGCCTCTTGGGGTTCATCTTGTTTGGGACTCTCTGTGCTTCCTGGATTTGTATGCCTGTTTGCTTCACCAAGTTAGGAAAATTTTTTGCCATTATTGTTTCAAACAGGTTTTCCATTTCTTGTTCTCGCTCTTCTCCTTCTGGCACCCCCAAGATGCGAATGTTGGCATGCTTGAAGTTGTCCCAGAGGCTCCTCACACTATTCTCATTTTTTTGGATTCCTTTTTCTTTTTGTTGTTCTGATTGGGTGTTTTTTGCTTCCTTATTTTCCAAATCGATGGTTTACTTCTTGGATTTACGTACTCTACTATTGAATCTGTGTAAATTATTCTTTATTTCAGTTAATGCCTCCTTCATTTCTGACTGTGCATCCATCATTTCTGACTGGTCCTTTTTGATGCTCTTGAGGCCCTCACTAAGTTCATTGAGCATCCTTATAAGCAGTATTTTGAACTCAGCATCTGTTAGGTTGCTTATCTCCATTTCGCTTAGTTCTTTTCTTGGGATTTTGTTCTGTTCTTTCATTTGGGACCTGTTTCTTTGTATCTTCATTTTGGCTGCCTCTCTGTGTTTGTTTCTGTGTATTACTTAACGAGAGGTATGGGGCTAGCTGAGACCAGATGCTGCTAGTTTGAAAGAATTTAGGAAAAACCTGAAGCAGGATCCAAGACAGGCCAATCCTATGGTTAAGCAAGTGGCAACAGCTTGGGTGGGCCTGAAAGTTGGGCGGGGTGGGGCGGGGTGGGGCGGGGTGGGGCGGGGTGGGGCGGGGTGGGGCGGGGTGGGGCGGGGTGGGGCTTCAGGGAGTCAGCAGGGCGGGGCTACCAGTGTGAGCCAGGTTGCTGGAATCCCAGATATGGCTTCTGTCTGCTGCCCCAGGGAAGGGCTCACCAAAGGAACAAAGGCCTCTGGCAGCACGTTTGTCCCGGAGAAAGCCCCCTCTCCAGCCCTCGCTCCAGTGCCAAACAGCTCAGTTCTTCCCTGTATGTCTCTGGCGCCCCTCGAGCTGCCTCCCCTCCAAGCTTAGAGGGAGAGAGTCCGATAAAGTCCTTGCGCAGGCCCTTTAAGGAGCTGCCTGGGGCTCCAGCCGCCTCAGCTTCCCTGAGCCTCAGTTCCCGCTGGTTTTTCCAGCCAGAAGTTATGGGGACTCTCTTCCTGGCACTGGAACCCTGAGCGGGGCACCTGGTGTGGGACAGACACCCCTCAGTCTGTCTCACCACTGGCCCTCGCGCCTCCGCCCCTCCTACCAGTCTGGATGTGGCTGCTGCTTTAATTCCGTAGTTGTAGGACTTCCATTCAGCTTGATTTCAGGTGGTTTTGAATGACGGTTGTTCTGTAGTTTAGTTGTAACTTTGATGTGGTTGTGGGAGGACGCAGTACCACGTTTACCTACGCCGCCATCTTGACTGGAAGTCTACTCCTTTCTTTTTACTAGGCTAAAACAGTACCATTTAATCTGCTTCTAGGGACCATCTGTTTTATTTATGGGGTTCATTTGGTTACAGTTTCCTCAATTTCTCTCTCTCCCCCAGATTCTTCATGATTATCAAAATTTTGGAATTACCTGGGTGGCTCAATTGGTTGAAGCATTGTTCCATACACCAAAAATATTGCAGGTTCGATTCCCAGTCAGGACACATACCCAGGTTGTGGGCCTGATCCCCAGAGGGGGGCATGCAAGAGGCTACCAATCAATGTTCTCTCTCATCAATGTTTCTCTCTCTCCCGTCCTCTCCCTTCCTCTCTCTGTAAAATCCATAAAGAAAAAATTTTTTTAAATAAATAAGAAATAAAGAAATGTTTTGGATATAAAACTTGTTAAGTATTTGGATAAAGCAATACAAATAATGACTAATATGCTGATTTTGCAATCAGCCACAGGAATAAACTATACATTTTAATTTGTGTGCGGCTCTAAGGAATATAGTGTGGCTGCTTTTCTTGAAAACTTTGAATAGATCACTACCTTCTATTATTGAGCAAGCTCTTTAGCTAGTCATTGTAGAAGTATTTCCTTGCATCAAGTAGCTTGCATTTTATTTAACCACATTTGAGGGCACTTCTCCCTTTTAATGGAACTACTTCAGCTAATTACTTTTCTCTTTCTTCTCCTTTTTTAAATATATAATCATTGGCGCCTAGGGGGGATACATCCTGCCTAAGAGGTTATATTTCATTACTCTTTTAAAAAGAGCACCCTTGATTTTTTTATTGCTTTGATTTGGTACTCTAGTACACTTTGAATTGTTTAAACACCAAAACTGTACATTTTTATTTTCCCTGGAAAAATATGTTCAGCTCTGAAAGAGAAATAAAGATAAAATGAAACTATTTTCTTGGAAAAAGCAGCCAAGTCAAGAAAGAGCAATGTTAAAGATGTCATCCGTCCTCTTATAAAAGACTAAATTTAAATGAAAACCTTAGGAAACAATTCCAAATGTTTCTATTGTATTTTTTAAAATTGGGGTATAATTCTGCAAAAGAATTATGTTTATAAATGTCAACCAGGCATTAGTATTTGTAATCATGAAAAAAAAAAAAAAAAAAGATCAAACTACACTGTCTTATTAGGGACATCCTTATATCATAATAGTGACAAAGCAAGTAGAAAGTAATTCTATCACAGTAACTCTTTTTACAGCCTGCCACCAACCCTTTCAATGAGTTATTAGGCCTTTATTAAACTGGAAAAAACAGTTTCATTTTACAGTGAGAAAAAATTACAGGCTCGAGAGCTTCTTTTACTTGATGGCTCTCCCAACTGCTACAGGCATTTTAACTTGGCACAGTGGAAGTGTCATGAGGCTGGGGACTCCTTCTAGAGACATAGTAACTATAGAGCTTGTTTAAGATCATTGCTGCTGTGTTAAAGACCTCTCAAGACCCTGACTTTATTCTGTAGCTTTTATAGTAAATCCAGGTTCTCCCATTTGGGGGAAGGCAGAAATACAAGGATACAGTGCAGAGGGTTAGCGAGTTCCCAGCTATCCAGGGATCATCCTCTCTGGGAAAATGGTTTGAATTCTAAAGGCTGAGCTCCCAGAGGGCAGAGGAGCTCACTGCTGGATTCCTCCCTCCAGGCCCAAGGAGTTGATCAGTGTACTTTAGTGTCAGCTGATGGGACCTTAAAGTGAAAAACATACACAGATAAGAGCACTTACCATTTCTGGATTCTCTGCAGCTAGCTTTACCCTCTTTTCTGAGATCATTTTTTTCAAGCAGCTACTCAGCAAAAAAGCCTAAGAAATCCCAAAATAAAGAAAGTCTCTCAGTTAAAGAGATCTTTATTCTCTTCCTTCCCTCCTCACACCACTAGACAGATTTTGAGCTCTGCCCTCGAATAGTATGAATTTAGATTTTTTTTAACTTCCATAAATTAGCATAAGATGTAATTAACAAGTCACCAGAAATTTTCTCAATATGTGGATATATTTACAGTAAAATTTAAAGACAGATGAACAATGGCCAGGCTCTCATTGTTAATCTTTTTCACTCTTAAAACTTCCCCCTCACATCCTATTTTTTTCTATTACTTTGTAAGCATCTCATGTTTTACAAATAACAAATAAAAACTACTTATTATTATAATAAAATAAGCTGATGTTGGTCAATCTTATAGTTAACTGTATGCATAATATCTAAGAGGCATAAATAGCAACCTGTTTGAAAGAATATATTAGACCTTATGGCATTTAATGAACTAAAAAAAAAATTAAAAGGTGCTTTTCTTTACTTTCTTATTTATCTGGTAGCTTTCATCATTCACTTTCAAGACTTACAGCTGTCCCCAATATCACCTGTGGCTCTATTGTTGGCTCATCGTGGTTAGTCAAAGAGTCACATTATACATTGTGCTACACAAAAGCTGGGGTTTCCTTGTTGCAGGATCTTCACCTCTACTTGCCAAATTTAAGGTTCTCTTTGATTTTCCCATTTGCTCCTTTCCCACGAATCCTTTTTCTCTCTTGTCCTGCTCTTAATTCTTGACTTGCTCTCTTCTCTTTGGGCCCTACCAAGGTTTGAGACAAATGAAGCTCAAAGTTTGAGGTTATAGGACCTTAGTGTGTGCCAAAGGATGGTCACTTTACTTGGGAGGGGTGATGAGAAGAAGAGAGGAGAAAACTCAGGTTGGGGTAGTAGCTCATGTAGAAAACTCTTGGAGGATAGTTCATAGAAATAATTAGAGGGAGAGTGGACTACTTAGAGGGAACAACCCAAAGTCTTGCAGGACTGTAGAGCATGATAGGAATTTATTTCATTTTCGGGGGCAAGAAATGTGGGAAGAGGGAAGAAAGGCACCGCCACTAATGAGGAAGAGGAACAGATGGGAGGCTTTTACACAACACGTTTTAACCTCCTGGTTTTGATAAAGACTAGCCCTGTTTATCTGTGCATGTATGTAACCGACACAAAACCAGGGTATGAAATAGTTCAACACCACCGCCTGAGCTGCTGCAGATAGAAAGGATGTGTAATGGTGTCCCACAGGTTCAGACGGCTTCCATATTACTACACAATGTACACAGATAGGTAGGTTAGGACTCTGCTATAAACCAGGTAAGGTTTTTTTAAATATTAAGGGACTGAGCGTTTGTTTAATGGACCTAGGAAAGGTTTGGGCCAAGCCCTCATTTGTATGTATTTACAAGGCATACAAGGCACATTTCTCCTTTTGCAAAAGTAGTCCCCAAGTACACATCAATAAACCCACACTCCAAAGGAAATAAGGCCGTACTAGGAATCCTTTAAAAGAATGTTTATTATACCTCTCTATGGTGGTTTAAACTCATTTGCTACAGACTAGATTAAAAGACTATAAAACTATTTAACTATTGCACTTAGCAGTCTAGGAGAGAAGGGGGGGGTTTCAATACCGAAATCTCTCTACGTCTCTCCAAGTGACTGCAAATCTTGCCTCAGTAACCATCCTATCCTTTTTCTAAAAATGTTTCATATTATTGAGTAGTTGCAACAGAGACCAAATGGACCTCAAAACCTAAAATATTTACCATCTGGCCCTTTGAGACAAAGCTTATTGACCCCTGGCTGAAGCCACTGTTACTGGAGTCTTCTGCTATATGGTAACTAAATTCATTTCTAATTGATATGAAGGCTGTGGTGACTAGTAAAATAAAACAAAACAAAAAAGAGCATCACACCCCCAAAAGAGGGTGTGTAGCATACTCTAGTGACTAGCAAGGAGTAGGGTAAAGTGTTGTGTCCACCCCAGCAAGCAAGAGATTTCAGTACAGGTTTTCATGCTCTTCCCTGAGAGCTCACCTGTTTGGTGTAAATAACAAACCACTGCCAGCGACTATCCTCGCTGTACTGAAATCTGAGCTCCAGGTTCTGGTTGAGAGTTCGCTGGGGCCCATCCATATCCAGCAGAGTCCCCTGTGGAGGAAAAGATATTCGATATTCAGTGGAAGTGTAAGTGGCACAGGCTGCAAGGCATGTGGGTGGTGAGGGAAGAGGCGTGGAGAGGCAGGCTAGGGCCAGATCCGAAAAGCCTGGTAGAAAGCACCTGTGAGGTTTGCTCTACAGCATCCATCTCTCTTTCTCCTGGGGATGGAGTCTCATATTCCCTCGGGAAAACCATCTCTCATCCACTGTGAATACAGGTAGGACTATCAGGGAATGCTACCTCCCTGGAGGTGTCACATGACCCAAACTCAGGCCAATTGAACAAATGTGCCCCTCATTTTATTCCACAGCAGAGACCCAAGGAGGAGATCCTGATAAAGAATTCCTAGAAACCTTGAGCTCCTTTGGTTCCTGACTTTCCTAAGCCTCTGTTTCAAGCTTTCCTTTAAAGCAGTGGGTTACGGAATCTTTGAGGGAGGGGCAGCTGCCTTTCCCCAGAGCCCTGGGAAGGAGGAAGATGGCCACCGTCCTGCGTGGCAGCAACTCAGCAAAAGCTCCGAGCCCCCCTCCAAATCCCGAGGGTCACCACACAGTTCCCGTCCAGTCACCCTCCCTCTGCCAGACCCTAGCAGGGGCAGAAGAGGAGCTGCAGGTGATTCAGCCTAAGTCAGTGTCCTTCGCAGCCGGAGAGACGGCCACTCTGATCTGCACTCTGACCTCCCTGCTCCCCATGGGGCCCACCCTGTGGTTCAGGGGGACAGAGCCAGGCCGGGAGCTCACCTACAGTTTCAAAGAAGACAGCCTCTCCCACTGAGTAACAAATGTCGCAGACACCACGAGGAGAGACCACATGGACTTTTCCATCCGCATCAGGAACATCACCCAGCAGACACAGGGATGCGCTACTGTGTGAAGTTCCGGAGTGGAAGCCCCGCCCGGACACGGAGCTCAGGTCTGGGGCAGGCACTCAGCTCACCGTGAGTGACAGAGTACTCGTGGTACCAGCCACTCCATTCCCCTAGCTGTCCTCCTGGGCCTCAAGGCGCTGGCGGTGGGTGCTGTCTCTGCCACCTATGTCTACGAGAAGTGGAGAGAGCCTGACCATGAGAACAGCAAGCCTCCTCACGGTGCCCATGGCCCACCGAATCAGGCTGGTCCCAGAGGCACACAAAGGGGCAAAGGGCCAGCTAGTGAACTCCGACACACTCCAGCAGGCAGCGGAACCAAGTGTGCCCTTCGCTGGGACCCGTGTGCACACCCAGGCCCCTCACAGTCCTGAGAGCAGACAGCCCGGAATCTGCACCTGGGCGGCCCAGGAATCTGCACCTGGCTGGGCACCAAGACCTGGCCCAGTCGACCCTGCCCACCTGGAATTCCTTTATACTTTCTCTCGATGAACTTTGGTCAAAGGGACTGGGGGATGTCTGCACCCTGTGCATTGAGCTTCAAGCAGACCCTGCCCATTTAAAAGAGAACCAAGCAGATTACAGAAACGGGATTCTCTCTGGCCCCTCAATATTCAGGGCATTTACCCTTCTCCAGAGCTTTGACCAGTAGGATTTCATTTTAACACATAGATAATTGAAATCACTTAGTTGAATAAACATTTTTTTCTATTCTGAAATATATAAAGAATAATATTTTTTAAAAATTTTGAAAAAAAAATAAAAATAAAGCAGTGGGTTACCCCATATCCCTCCAATAAATCCCTTTTTTCACTAGAGCCACGATGTTGGTTTCTATTGCTTACCACCAAAGAACCCTAACCGTTACAGGTTTTATAAGCTAAATTAAGGAGTCTGGGATCTATCTTGAGGGCAATTGGCATTTATTACAAGATTTTAAAAGCTACATAATAATACAATTATATTTACATTTTAGAAATATTGGTCTGACAGCATCAATGTAGAAACTGAACTAGGAAACAGCTGTTTTCAGACACTGAAGGACAGATAACACAGAACTGTTAACTCAGGAAGAATAACAACAAATGAGGTGAGCCCTACAATTACCCAGCTTACTGCCTGGAGGAGTTTCCAGGATGCAGTACAAGGATGGGAAACCCAAACTGAGCCCAGAGGTCATGCTGAGTTGAGGAGAAAGGTAAACCTTTGAAGATGTCCAGGTTAGCATTCGTGGGGCAGAAGACCAAAGACAAGGGTTTTATACAGAGAAAAAGCTCCTGAGAGCTCCTTTCATATCTTTGGCTGAGTAATGATCTGCGCATGTGTGGGTTGTGCAGATGTGCATGCACATCTGTGCATGTGAGGCTGGGGAAAGAACCACTGAAAAGCAGTAAATTGAACAATTCCAGAAACTCACAAGTCAGGCTGGATATAGTCTGTGTTTCTAGCAAGCAGAGTAGAGGGACCATAATAAACAAAACATTGGTAGAGTCCTAAGAATGACAGCTAATGAGTAAAGGACCAAATTAATGGTCAAGACTGCTCTTGACCTTAAGAGAGCTTAAAAACAAGCCAATAAATAATAAATAAATAAATAAATAAATAAAAAAAACAAACCAATCCCAAGTAACTTAATTGCATGCCAGAAGAAAGTCTAATACTATTTGTTTGTTTGAAATGTTATTTATTTTTTTATTTTAAAAAGAGATGAAGGGAGAAGGGGATAGGAGGGGTAGGGAGAGAGAGGTAAAGAGCGAGAGAGAAAGACATCAATGAAAAAGAAACATTGATCAGCTGCCTCCTGCATGCCCTCTTCCATGGACTGAGCTTACAACTTGGGCATGTGTCCTGACCAGGAATCAAACCAGCGACTTCTAAGTGCATAGGATGAAGCTCAACCAACTGAGCCACACCAGCCAGGGCAAGTCTAATACTCTTAAAGGAATACAATAAAATCTAGCATTCAATAATGCAAACTTCACAATATTCAGCACACCCATGAAAAATTACCTGGCTTGCAAAGTAGGAGAAAGTATGCAATGCAAACAGGAGAAAAATCAATCAGTAGAAACAGACTCAGAAATGACAGAGATGATGGGATTAGCAGACAACGATATTAAATGTTACTTTAAATATATTCCACATACTCAAGAATTTAGAGAAAAATATCGCATGATAAGGAGAAAAATGGAGATATAAAATGACCTAAACGGAACTTCTAGAGATGAAAAATAAGTACTGAATCATAGCCCAAGGAGAAATATAGGTTTAGGTTCCTATGAACCTCTGATCACATTTTTACCAACTGATCAATGCATAGCCTCATTTTATGTGTATTTATTTTTAGAAACAGTTTTATTGATGCATAATATGCAAAAACTGCACATATTTAATGTATACAATTTGATGAGTTTTGGATACATGCATACATCCATGAAACTGTCACCACAATCAATATCCATCACCTCCAGAAGTTTCATATAGTAGTCTTGAAATGAGACACTATGGGAATGGCAAACAGATTAGTGGTTGCACAGGGTTAAGGAGGGGTGTGCGTGGGAGAAAGGGGGTATAACTATAAAAGGCCAACATGTGAGATCCTTGTGATGGAAAAGTTCTGATTCTTGATTGTATCAATATCAGTATCCTGGGTGGTGATATTGTACTATAGTTTTGCAAGATAAAATAATTGAGAAAAGTGGCTAAAGAGTACACAGGATCTCTGCACCATTTCTTCAACTGTACTTGAATCTATAATCATATCAAAATTAAAAGTTTAATTAAAAAATAATTATTTAAAGCAAAAATAATTATAATGTAGCATGAGGCTTATATTTAGAAATAAAGTATGGCAACAGATATCACATACAACTGAAGGGGCAAATAAAAGTACAATGTTGTAAAGTTTTTACACTTCTTGTGAAGTGGTATGTTAAAAGTAGGCTATAATAAGATAAAGATGTATATTTAAAGCTCTTAAGTGACCATAAATAAAATTTTTTAAAGGGTATAGCTAGTAAAAACCAATGGTGCAAACAACTAGAATCATAAACTAAGACAGGAAAAAAAACTGATAAAACTAAAAAGAAATAGAGAAATCCACAATTATATTTGAAGACATATAATTGATAAGACTTAATAATTGATAGAACAAGAAGAGAGAACATCTATAAGGACATAGGCAATTTGAGTACTATCAACCATGTGATGTAACTGACATTTATAGACTACTCCACCCAAGAGGGGCCGAATACCCCTCTATTTTCTTTTCTTTTCAGATGTGCATGAAACATTTACCAAGACAGACCAAATCTTGGACCACAAACTAAGTTCCCACAAGTTTAAAAAGACTGAAGTTGTATGACATTATTTCTCTGACCCCAAAGGGAAAGAGTGGGCAGGGAGAAGGGTTAGAAGGCAGCAGGGTCCATCTAAGCAGGAAATGTTGAGGCGGAGCTGGGAGGGTGGACGGAAAGGACGAGTTTTGAGGGGTAGTTAGGTCATAAAGTGGATAGGTCTCCACCAGCAATTAAACATGTAAGTAAGAGAGAAATAAAGTCAGAGGTAATTTCAACATTACTGGTTTGGCAATTAGCGGGTGGTGGTGGGAGTCCTATTTACCAAAATAGGAGCACGGGAGGAAGAGCCCTGGGGTGGGCATGAGAGGAGAGGATGAGTCTGCTGTGGGGAAGGGTTGAGTCTGAGACGTTCACGAGACACCAGTGAAGATGTCCAGAAGGCAGAAGGAAATACTGGCCTCTTGGGGAGGAATCTGGGTAACTGATTTCAGAGAATGTGGAGAGGAAAGATGCTAGAAATAGAACACCCCAAATCACCAGCATTTTCTATGTGATCAACGGGAGAAGTGGCTCACAAATAGGGGAGGAGGGTGAGGGAGACAGGTACTGTGCCGGATCAGAAATTCCCTTGGATCCTGTGGATTGGACAAGTGGGAGCCACAGTTGCTCTACCAGAGTTTGTCCTCTGCTAATTAACCTCAGTTTCCTTTGTAGCACTTAATTCACTGAGTTACTGTAAGAATTTAATTAAACAATAGATGTGGCTATGCCCCACATAGCACCTGGTACAAAGTAGGCACTCAACAACTCTGATCATTAGAGTTTCTCTTGGGAGAAGACAGCAATGTAGGGATGACGGATAGCAGGGATCCTTAAGTATAGCTTCCTGCTCAGCATCCAGTTTGCAAGGCTAGAGATCTTGTCAGTACTAAGTACATATTATGTGCTCTGTACATGATAGCTATCATTTCTATATGCTGTTATTACGGTCGCCACCCTGCAAGCAGCAGAGAAGCCTGTTGTTAAAAGGTAGGAAGCCTGTTGTTAAAAGGTAGGTAGGCATCTCTACTGTAATGGGTAGGGTACTTGTACCAGACAATAAATACATTTGACCACTGGGTGATGCCTACGGTGGCTTAGATGCTCGTTCACTCGAGGTCCTGATTCATATGGCAGACCTGTCTCCCATGTCGACTTTGTCATCCAAAAACAACAGGATTTTAAGTCATGAATGGGAACTTTAAATCATGGGTGAGGCAGAGCTGAGATACTCACAAGGAAGGTGACCTGCCAGCACTTCACTCTGTTCATCTGGAAGGTGACGTCCTGGGTCTGGTTGTCAGGCAGGGTTACACAGCAGCTGATCTCGTTATTGCCAACAGAAAGAACAGCCCCGCAACCCGGTTCCGGGTAGTCACAGGTACAAGGATCCAGCTGCACGTATCCATAGTGCCGCACCTCCCGGGACAGCTCCAAAAACTGCTCCAGAGGGAGGTGTGGGGGAGGGAGGAGGAAGCAAACGATCACTTGAAACAGATGAAAACCTCATGTGAAAAGCTACTGCCCTTCTAGCAAAACACATGCAACTGAGAGCAGCAAGAGTGTCTTTTTCTTTTGCACAATGCGGAGGGAGACAACCGATGTCCCTTGAGCGCTGTCAGTGAGGCCCGGGGAAGTTCACCGTGTGTCCTGCCAGAGCAGGGCCCATTTCTGCCTCATTCACCATTATGTCCCTGCTCCCATTACAGTGCTCAGTGCATGGGAATGAAAATATTTGCTGCCTGAAGGATGGCTGAAGAAAAGAGTCACTTGAATAAGATATGATTCTATCTCAGTAGATTGTAACAGCAAAATAAGCAAAAAGTATACCTTTAAAATGTCTTTTAAAAAACGAAGCTGAGGTCTATGTAGGAAGAAAGTGGTTCATTTTTACAGGCTACTTTATGTAATGGTGGCATATAAATTGTCCCCAAAAGAGATTTTGGAAACAGCCATGAAATGAGAGCAGGAAGAGTCTGCTTTTTAAGTAAAGTTCCAGACAGTCTCGAAGTGCCAGGGGAACACTTTATGTAACATTTAAGGTTTAGCTTTTCCCTCTGTTTCCTACATGACTTAAGGACAGAGGACATTTAGAGCTGACACCTGTGGTTCCAGCAGCCTGTCCTATTAACGTCTATTGAGGATTTTTTTTTCCCCACAAAGTGATTATTAACGATTACATTTAAATAACCTGGCATCAGCTAGGTGACCTCCACCTTGTTCTTCCAGTTTTCCCCATGGTCCTGACTGACCATATGTGAGATGTCTGAGCACAGAGCAGAGTTCTCACTGTAACACATGGTTAAATCAGAAAGACCTCCTGCCCCCAGGGACAACCTGGTTCTTTCCCAGTCCTTTCCTGAAGCAAGGTAACTGACACATCCCTTTCGAGCACGGTGAAGCGTTCTCTGATAAACGTGCTGAGAATGCAGTGAGGGCCCGCTGACCCTTGGTACAGGCAGGAGGAGTATTTGAGGCTCCAGTCCCTCTACCACCTGTTGTAACAGCTCCCTGTGCTGCAGCCTGTGCATTCAACTGAAGAGATGCACTAAGTTGCCAGGCCTCCTTTTGGGTCAGAAATGACAGGTTGCGAGAAGATCCTACCTGTGCAAGGGTGGGGCAGGGGTGGGATAATCCTGGCATAGAGCGCACACTTTCATGCTCTTAACACACAAGTTTCTTATTTATTACATGCCATAAATCTGTTTATTTTATTGTTGAGTATCAAGAATTTTATAATAAAGTCTTGGTTGCAATGCTCTAACAGAGAAGGAAGTATTTGTTTAATTAAAAGTTAGGCTCCATTGCTCACGAAAGTGGTGATGAATAAGTAACTGCTCAAAATGTGTGCTGCCATTTGCCACTCAGCCAGGGGGATGCAGTGACATTACTGACAGTCTGAAAACCAGGAGACAGAAATCTGCAAGAATCATCTACTCGAAAAATCAGTTCTTTTAAGACGACTGTACCTGGAAAAGATCATTTAACACATGCAGATCTGTATAACTGCAGAACGTATATTTATATATTTTCATTTAGATCGGGGGTTGGTAAATTTTTCGGTAGCGACATATAGTAAATATTTTCGATTTGTGGGTATATGGTTTCTATTACAACTACTCACCTCTACTGCTCTAGCACAAAAGTAGCCTTGACAGTACATAAGGGAATGAGCATGGCTATGGGCCAATAAAACTTTATTTACAACAACCATAGCCCATGGGCCATAGTTAGCCTATCTCTAATTTAGATCAAATGACCACTCCAAATTAATTCACTCATTTTCAATTATGAATTTTCTAAAGCAATAGTTGTTAACACGTTGGCTCCATTAGCAAACGAATAACTTAATTTAAATAAGGCTGGTGTGATAACAATATCCTTAGATGCTTCAAGAGAAAATAAATTAATTTGACTAATGCTTCAATTATTTTTTCAGATGGAAAGAAACTCACACATCCCGTATCCCCAAGCAGTGTCTATGAATGAGTCTGACAAACAAGACATTTTTTTAACAGAAGAAATGGCCTCTGCTTCAATGCATTGTCTTTTTTTATTCTTTAGATTTGGTCAGTGTTCACCACTAAAGCATTGATTTTGAACACAATGCAAAGAAAATTTAGAGGACTGAATTTAGAGGATAAATTCATGCACACACAGTAAAGTTTCTAAAAGACCACCATTAAAATAGCATCATAAAATCAGATGAAATATTTATTATAAAAAATTAAATTTGTTTTGTGGCAAAAATACACATACAAATTTTGATAGAGTGGTTAAAAATAATAGCTTTACTGATTGAAGTGTGGTTAAAAATAATAGCTTTACTGATTGAAGACGTTTATAGAGCAGAAATGTCCTTTGATTGGTACTTGTATTCAAAGTAACAGTAATATTTTATCCATCAAAATAGAACCCAAATTGTAAAAATTTACAAATATACAGAGACATTGAGACTCCAAAATTTCTGTGACAAAGCTGTGGTGGAATACCAAGGGGGGTATACAAAAATCATGACATCTATGCTTTTCCTTTTTCCTTTTTTAGCTTGTCAATAAAATTCTCAAAACATTGTTTCGAGAATTAGTTTCCATATCAACCTAAGCGTAAACGAGTCCTCTAAATTTTGTTTGCATTTTGTGCAAAATCAATGCTTTAGTAGTGAACAATGGCAAAGTATAAAGAACTTAAGAAGACAATACCATGAAACAGAGACCATTTCTTCTGTTAAATTATGTCTTGTTTTTCAGACTCACATATACTGCTTGGAGACAGGGTTATGTGAGTTGGTACCATCTTTATGGAAGATTTAAAAATGGATGTTTAGAAATACATCCTAAAGAATAACAGAACACATACTCAAAGACAGAGGATGTTGTTGCAATGCTTCGGGACCTTCAGCCGGGCACCATACCAGGTCTTGGGAATACACGGGGTATGTATAAATTAGACACAGTCCTGGGCCTCATGGTGCTGTCTGTCAAAGTGATTTATAGCAGCAAAAGCTGGAAACAACCTGACTTCCAACAATAAGAAATCGGTTTGCTAAATGATAACATAACCATTAAATGGAATATTCTGAGGCCATTAAAAATGTTGAGGGTCTGTATTAACTAACTTGATAAAGGACTCACAACGTATTGTCTGTATCTTTTAGAATCTTTAAACAAAAACCTTTAATTTATTTTATAATAAAAAAATCAATAAAAGTGTTCTCATTTTTTAAGAGTCCTATTTTTAGTGCTTGGTGGGTTTATAAATTATAGAAAGAGCCCAATTCCGATATATATATTTTTTTATCCTCACCCGAGGACATTTTTGCACTTATCTTCAGATAGAGTGGGAGGGAGAGAGGGAGGAAGAGAGACAGAGAAACATCGATATGAGAGAGACACACTGAGTGGTTGCCACCCACATGACCCCAACCAGGGCCAGGGACAAACTACAACCAAAGTACATGCCCTTAGTGGGAACCGAACCCAGGACTCTCTGGTCCGCAGTCTGACGCTCTAACCTCTGAGCCAAACCGGCCAGGGCCTGATATATTTCTTTAGCTCCCTTCCAGGGGGTTTCTGTTGGTGCAGTATTTGATTCACCTTTGTTTGGTCGTCTTCTTTCTGGAGAGCCTCTAATTTCTGCCTCTGTGCCGGTGTGGGTTTGGCCCATTCTTTTCGAATGTCCTGGATTGCCTTAAAACAACATAAATTGCAACATTAGCAGGAATGAATTACTCTAACAAAAACATACTCATGTAAGAAAGGCTAGAAAAACAGACCAGTGGCCATATATATATATTATAAAAGTTACTTTTTAAAGTAGTGGGTATAGAAAGAGATTGTTCAATGGTTTGGGGACAACACTTGGAAAAGAAAAGAAAGTCAGATCTTTCCCCACACCACTCAACCAATTAAATCCAGACACATTAAAGATCTAAGTGTAAAAACCATAAAAGAACCAGAAGAAAATAAGGTGAATATTTTTATCTGATCTTGAAGTAGGGGATGTCTTTTTAAGATACAAAGACAAAATGTCATAATAAAGAAATATATAATACATTAAAATATAAAACTTCTGTATACAAAATCCACCAAAAACAAAACCAACAAGTAGCCCTGGCTGGTTTGGCTCAGCTGTTGGAACGTCGGCCTGCGGTCCCGGGAGACCCAGGTTCAGGTCCCGCAAAGGGCATGTACCTCGGTTGCAGTTTGTTCCCAGCCTTGTTTGGGTTGTGTGGGTGGCGGCCACTCGATGTGTCCCTTTCACATCGATGTTTCTCTCTCTCTCTCTGTCCCTCCCACTCTATCTGAACAAAAAATGGAAAATGTCCTCGTGTGAGGATGAAAAACAAAACAAAACAAGAAAAAAACCAACAAGTAAATGCCAAACCAGGGAAAATGTGTACATTATATGAGGCAAAAAATTAATATTATTTATAGAAAGCAATAGGTACAATGTAAACATCCCTAGTAGGAAAATGGGCAAAAGATAAGTATCAGCAATCGACAAAAAGGAATTCCAAATGACAAATATATATATTTAACCTCACTAGTAATCAAAGAATTTTTTTCCCTCTCAGCTTGGCAAGGACTAAAATGTATGTAATATTCAGAGTTGGCAGGGGTTTAGGGGAAACAGGAAGTTCCATGTAGAACTGATGGAATTTAAATTGGTACTATTAGCCTGTCCTGCTTTATTACACTTTAAAAGAATTTTCCATTGGTCCTTAGATAGACTGTTAATTCCTCAAGGGAAGACCCTGGGTCCTTCACCTCAGTGTAGCTTGTCCAGTGTCTTATAGGCAGCAATCATGCAATAATTCTTTGCCAATTATTAGGTGCATACTCACACCTTAGTATGAATATAAGTCTATGTATTACAGCCCTCAGTGATATTGGCAGAGTGCTTTATCTCTATGAGGAGGGAAATTACCCCATTCTATAGATGGGTAAATCGAGGTCCAGAGGAGCTATGACTTTCAAGATGATCCAGCAAATAAGTGGCAAGAGCTGGATTACAACCGAGATCTGACCAGTACAACATTCGTTAATCAGCTGGCGCCGAGTAGCTGATACCTTATTTAAGGAGGCAACGGTTCTCCATTTCTCACTACTGTACCCTCTGCAGAGGGCACTAGAGTATGTGTGATTGAAGCTCATGAAAACCATGACTTATGTGATTTCACATGGCCCTCCTACCCTTGCCTAAGCTGTTGATTTCTTATTACATAGCCAGCTACCCACGCCAAGACTTTCTCCTTGTTGCCAACTGTTCACAAAACTGAACCTTGGTGCCATGCCACAATGGAATCAGCATGGAGGTGAAGACTAAACACCTCTTCTTTCCAGAATTCTACTTGCTGTTAGCACCTGTAAGGACTGTTAGCACAGGGCAGCGATGTCACAGAGAAAGCCTGGCTAAACAAAGTTAAACAGCAATGATGACAGTAAGCATTAACCAAGGACACATCATTCATCATTAGGGGACTTGGGACTCTCAAACACAGAGATTTAAATGTCCTACAGGAGAGGTAACATAACTGTTTTTGTTCACCACCTTTGTAAGTGTTTGATTCTGATTGAGTTCACAAGTCATCACTAAAATACGTTATATATAGTACCTCACTCCAGACGGTGAGAGTCAGTTTAGACAAATGTCTGTTCAGTTATGTGGTTTCCCAAGACAAGCTGATGGAGACTTACGCAGAACCTAATGTTTTAAACCAGGTGAAGTCACACAAGCCATGGTTTTCATGCACTTCAATCACACATACTCTAATACTCTCTGCAGAGGGTACAGTAGTGAGAAATGGGGCACATGTGCCTCTTTAAACAAGGCATCAGCTCCTCGGTTCCAGCTGGTTAATGCATGGCAGAGCAAGGCCAGGTATGTGTGAGCAGCCCGGGCCCTGTACAAGGGCACCAGGCTAAGGGGGTTTTAGGAGACCAGCGGTCAGCCCGCACTCCGCTCCCAAGCCACAGGCCCTGCCAGGGGAAGAGTGCCTCTTTCTAACGTGCACAAAGTTACCACGTGGGCCAATGGTGGCCCTGCTGAAGTACAGGCCCAGAACTGACCGAGCCTTCAATACTTTTTAGAAAACCCAGAAATGTATACTTCTATATGAAATCTTCCTTTTTGTTAATGGCACTCAAATTTGTAAAAGAAAGAAAACACATGGTAAGAGTCTACTTAGTCCTGAGGCATCATTGGGCACCTCTGCTTTAGAAAAATCTTTAAAAAATAGGTCATGATAGTTAATTATGACGGGCTGTTATTTGTCCGAAGAGTTCCTGAGAACTTCTGCATTAACGTTTTTAAAGGATTGCTCCTCACCCATTTACATATCCCAGGCACCCAGGACACAGCCTCTGCCCTTGGCCCTTCAGAGTCCAGACACATAGGTGAACCAGTATTTACAGTGCTGGGTGAGAAGTGCCATAATCGAGAGTCTGAACAAAAAGCCATGGGAGCAGAGGGGAAGGAGGCGTTGTCTTCCGGGAGGAGCCAGGAAGGCTTCCCAAAAAAGGCAGTGATTGGGGGTCCCTCCCTCCTGCTGACTGTGGGCCCTTTCAGTTCCTCAGTACCTCCACTCAGAGTCAGGGAATAATAATGATGGTGATGATAATGGCACAGGTTATTATGACATCAACTCCAGTTTGTTGAAGACTTTGCCAGGAAAAGAGTTTGCATAGCAGTCTATTAAAGCTGGGAGAAAACCTAGAGACTGTTAGTTCAACCTCACTGCTTAACAGGGGGATGTTGTAGTTCTAGTTCCAGAAAGACAGGGTCTGGTCCCAGGTCACATGAAGAGAAAGCCAGTGGCAGAGCAAGGGACAGAAAGCATTTTTGAAACTGCAATTCAGTGTGCTTTCCATGAAGCCATCTTTTTTCCCCCGCAGCTATAAGCAGAAGAAATGTCATCTATTTCTCTCTGGTTTACTATTCCTTTTTTTTTTATCCTCACCCAAGGACATTTTTGCATTCATCTTCAGATACAGCGGGAGGGAGAGAGGGAGGAAGAGAGAGAGAGAAACATCTATGTGAGAGAGACACATTGACTGGCTGCCACCCACAGGACCCCAACTGGGGCTGGGGACAAACTGCAACCGAGGTACCTGCCCTTAGCAGGAACCGAACCTGGGTCTCTCTCTGGTCCGTGGCTGACGCTCTGATCGCTGAGCCAAACTGGCCAGGGCTGGTTTACTATTCTTTAATGAGGACAGATAGAAATCATATTATGATGCTGGTAGTCCGTGCCTCTCATCACAATGTATTCCTAGAAACCATGCCACAAAGATGCTATTTCCCACAGGAACAGTATTAGAATTAGATGATGCATTTTCAACCAAAAATGTAAGAGCGAATAAACCAGATACAAATAATGATGTATTATAATAGCAATAATACAATGGTGATGTGTCTCAGTAAACATTAGAAGAGCGCTGTAGAAGTGATCAGATGATCTTGGTTTCTTAAAGGGTCACCTAAGGAGGAATAAGTATTAAGGTTGTTGAATCCTCATGTGACAGTCTGGCTGCTGGGTTCTGTTGTGTCTGCTCAGTCATATACCCAAGTTCTTGGCCCTTTGCCAAAAAAGCCAAGGTGCCTGCATGGGCTGATGGTCTGGTGGGGAAGATGTATATATAAAAGGTGTTTTATTTTGTCAAATTCACTCTCACTTACCATGATTTGGTGTGACACTACGAAAAACACTGTCAACTAAATTATGACACAGTGCCTAGTGACAGCCCTGTATGATGCATGAACCAGTCATGCCAGCCATTTCTGGCTAGTAACTACTTCCCTGTATTCTGAGGCATTTAGTGATTTCTCCTGTCTTCAGCTCCACTGCTCAGCCTGTGCGAGGCAGTCTATTTGCATATCCCTTAGTATAACACAGAACAGTTTCCTCTCTTTGGGCACATAAAGCACCTGGTTGTTGCTTTGCAAGGGAATATGGAACTGTGGTCATTTATTCAAAGATGAACATTTGCTTTACTAATATATAAGGGAACCCTGCCATTCTGTCTTGCTTTCAGTATAAGTGATAACTCCCATTCCATGCAGAATCACAGTGTAAACTTTTTGAAGTTATTTAAAATGACAGTATAGCTCAACAAATGTAACGTATCAGCTCTACACACAACTCAGCTAAAGAGAAAATAATACAAACAGCCTTGTATCAGTTAGAGATTGCTGCATAACAAAACACTCAAAAAATTAAGTGTTGCTTAAAATAATAATAATAAAAAAAAAGCAATGAAACTGCTTAAAGCAAAAACCAAAAGTCTCCTCAGGAAGTATGTGCTTAAGCTCTTTTCCTCATCTATGTTCTTTAATAAGCCAAAACATTGAAAGCCAACCCTTTACTTTTCTTGCTATACCCAAAGTACTACAGTAGGTTCTATTAATGTTTCCTTGCCCCCTTGAAATGCTCGCTAAAAGTAATGGTTAATCCTATATCTCTCGCCTCTCTTTAATTTCAGTGAAAGAAAAGCGACAGAGTTTAGCAGCTTAGAACCACACAACCTAAGAGCCAGCTGCAAGAAGTATTGTTAAATCCCCTTTCTACATTTTCTGTATCCAAGCCTACTCAATCCTTTGTCAGCAAACTGTTTCTTCTCCTTATAAATGTGGAGGCTACCAACTGCCTTACAGAGTTATTGTGAAGCTTACATGAAACAATGCATTTAAAACAATTAGTACAATGCCAGGCCCACCACAGGGTTTACTGCTGACATCTTGCCAGGAACAGTTATAGTTTCTGGGGATACAGTAGTGAACCAACAAATAATTGATTTCATGGAGAAATCATTCTAGTAGGAAGAGAGACAGTAAACAAATAATTTAAAATACATATGTAAACACATACACATGTGTGCATGTGTGTAATGGTGGGTTGGTCTGAATGAGATGGAATGACTTGGGAAGGTTTGAACAGGGCAAGAATCTGACCAGCCACACTGCCGTGTGAGAGCCGATTACGGGATAGTCTCATGGAGCTCCTTACATGAAGCTGCCACACCGCCCTTCCAGACTGTCCAGCCAGGCCTTGGAAAGGAGCAGGCTGCTGACCTGCAAAGTGGACACTGGTGGGGAGCTGGTGAAGCAGGGGGAGAACTGGAGGGAAACCGGACAGTCACCATGCAGGCAGCACCTGCTGACCATTCTCTGCTCGGCAGAACTTCACCACGTGAGTTGGGGAAAGAAAGAGAGGTCGAACTCTAAACGTACTCTTCTGGGGGTTGAGGAGCAGGGATAGGCAAGACCAACTTTATAATTGTCAGGGCCTAGTGCAAAATAAAGATGTGGAGTCCCTTGTTCAAAATTATTAAGAATTTCAAGACGTGATAGCAGAGCATTAAACAAGGATGAGGCCCTTCTGAGCACATGGCCCAGGACAGTTTCACAGGCCAGTTGCCCACGAAGCTGGTGCCGGGGCAGCAACACTACTTGTTGGCTCAGGGAAAAAGAAAATGATGCTGAAGTGAGGTTTAGGAACCATGTGTGACTGTAAATGATCAGGGATATCCTCTCCAGGCTCATGTAGACTATCAGGGATATCCTCTCCAGGCTCATGTAAATGATCAGGGATATCCTCTCCAGGCTCATGTAGACTATCAGGGATATCCTCTCCAGGCTCATGTAGACTATCAGGGATATCCTCTCCAGGCTCATGTAAATGATCAGGGATATCCTCTCCAGGCTCATGTAGACTATCAGGGATATCCTCTCCAGGCTCATGTAAATGATCAGGGATATCCTCTCCAGGCTCATGTAAATGATCAGGGCTATCCTCTCCAGGCTCATGTAGACTATCAGGGATATCCTCTCCAGGCTCATGTAAATGATCAGGGATATCCTCTCCAGGCTCATGTAAATGATCAGGGATATCCTCTCCAGGCTCATGTAGATTATCAGGGATATCCTTTTTAGGATCAAATAGATTAGTCTAGATGATGGTGTGTCAGCTGCAAATTCAGAGAGTGATTGTGAAAATGGTGTGAGAATTCTTTTTTATTTTTCTATAAACTCCTCTTTAAAAAAAAAAAAAGTGGTAAAATATACCTAACACTTGTTACTGTAACCATTTGTAACTGTACAATCCGAGGCACTAAAACATTTATATGTTGTGTCACCATCACCACTTCCTCCACCGAAAACTTTTTAATCACCCCTAGCAAATTTTCTGTACCCCTTATGTAATAACTCCTCTCCTCCAGCCCCTGGTTACCTTTGTTCTACTTCATGTCCCTATGAATTTGCCTATTCTAGGCATGGAGGTCGAATTCATACCTACTACAATGTTTTTCGAATGGCTGAAACCCAAATGGCCTATAAAATGTGGTGTTCTGATGGTTCTTGGTTACCCTCACCTGCATATAGATCAAATTTACAGCGGCTCTGCAGTCCATCATCATGGAGTCAAGGGACGGATCCATGTACCTGCGCAATTCAGGAGCATTAAGTTAATTCATGTGACATGGCTGATAGGCACACCTGGGAGCTCGTGCTCTGGGAAGTGGTGGCCCTCTGTGCTTTGAACAAGGCCCCGCTCCTCTACTTGCCTAGCCTCCCATCTCTCCCTGCACCGGGTCTGCTCTCTAATTTCCTTACACTGCAAGCTCTTGCCCAGTAGGCACAGAGTGAAGGTACAAAAAAATAAGCTTCGGGGGAATGGTCCGTGTCCCTGTTCACACACAACCCTACTTTGAGTCACCAAGTCCTGCGTGAGGTGTCCCCACCCCACAATGCCTGGCACTCTCACTTGCCCATTTTCATACCCATATCACCACCCTGTACCCAGGCCACCCTCATCTCTTGCCTGAGCTGCTCTGGTAACTTCCTCACCAGGCTTTCTGTCTCCGTCATGTTCCCTCGCTCTCATGCTCCGCATTCAACAGGAGTGTTAGTACCTTTCAGACTCTCAGAGCTCCAGCAGTTAGGTCACCTATCCTGCTCACTTCCAAGGCCCTTCAGAGAACACCCCACTTTCATTTCCAGTTCCATCTCTTACCCCACTCCCCTCTCCAACACTCTACCTTCCAGCCAAGCAAAATGGAGATAAGCAACCTAACAGATGCAGAGTTCAAAACACTGCTTATAAGGATGCTCAATGAACTTAGTGAGAACCTCAGTGAACTTAGTGAGGGCCTCAAGAGCATAAAAAAGGACCAGTCAGAAATGAAGGATGCACAGTCAGAAATGAAGGAGGCACTAATTGAAATAAAAAATAATTTACACAGATTCAATAGTAGAGTAGGTAAAGCCAAGAAGCAAACCATCAATTTGGAATATAAGGTAGCAAAAAACACCCAATCAGAACAGCAAAAAGAAAAAAGAATTTAAAAAAATGAGGATAGCGTAAGGAGCCTCTGGGACAACTTCAGGCGTGCCCACATTAGTATTTTGGGTGTGCCAGAAGGAGAAGAGAGAGAACAAGAAATCGAAAACCTATTTGAAACAATAATGGCAGAAAATTTCCCTAACTTGGTCAAGGAAACCGACATACAAGTCCAGGAAGCACAGAGAGTCCCAAACAAGATGAACCCCAAGAAGCCCACACCAAGACACATCATCATCAAAATACAAAAGGTTCAAAACAAAGAGGGAATCTTAAAAGCAGCAAGAGAAAAGCAGTTAGTTACCTACAAGGGAATTCCTATAAGACTGTCAGCTGATTTCTCAAAAGAAACTTTGCAGGCCAGAGAGAGTGGTAAAAAATATTGAGAGTGATGAAAAGCAAGAACCTACAACCAAGATTACTCTACCCTGCAAAGCTGTCATTTAGAATTGACGGACAGATAAAGAGTTTCCAAGACAAGGAAAAGCTAAAGGAGCTCATCACCACCAAACCATTATTATATGAAATGTTGAAGGGTCTTCTTGAAGAAAAAGATAAAATATATGAACAAACAAAATGGCAATGAATACATATCTATCAACAATTGAATCTACAAACAAAATGAACAGGCAGAACAGAAACATTCTCATAGATACAGAGAACATTTTGTTGGTTGCCGGATGAGAGGGGGGTTGGGGGAATGGGTGGAAATGGTGAAGGGATTAAGAAGTACAAACTGGTTGTTAGACTGACAAACCTCAAAGGGAAAGGGGGTTGGGGAGTAGGAAGAAATAAACCAAAGAACTTATATGTATATATGCATAACCAATGGACACAGACAACAGTGTGGGGAAAGGCAGGAGGGGGTCAATAGGGGAAAAATGAGGAACATCTGTAATACATTCAAGAATAAAGATAGGTTAAAAAAAAAAAACTAGGAAAAGGATAAAATATTAGTTGAAGATAAATTTCATTCTGGGCATGGGGAGAGCAGCTGAAGCATTCTTACTTATACTCTATTTAGCTATTTCACTTATGCGTCCCAAGGGCCCCTGTGTGGCAGAGAATAGCAACTGTTACATCAGAGAACTAGAGAACCCCCAGACCACCCCAGACTGGGTCTCTGAGAGGCCAGGCAGGCACCCTCTGGCCTGGAAGGAACTATATCATCGTTGGAGAAATGCACTGGGGAATTCACGGGCAGAGAAAAATCCCTAAGCCTCCAATCAGGCTTCACCGCGAGGCCCTGCCTGCTGGGAATCCACAGCTCGTGGCAGTGGAGCTAGCCTCCCTGCTCCCACCCTGTGAGACCTCACTCTGGAACGTGGGCCGGGCCCCTACAAGATCCTGTGCCAGGCTCTCCCTTCCGGTGACCTGATCCTCACCTTTAGGGAGACCTCCTTTCTTCCAGGTCTCTGAGCAAAGGCAATCTGCCTGGATCTGAGATGCTGCCATGTAGGTAGACATTTTGCCTTGTACTTATGATCTAGAATTGACCTGTTTAATGAAGACATAGGCAAAGACCAACTTCTAATTCAAGCTTCCAGGTGAGGAACAGAATCCTCATCTCTCCTTTGGTCTCATGCTCTCTGGAGAACTCATGAGCAACAAGTCTAAGCCCCAAGGATTTTTGTGGTGGTTGTTTCTATCATCATCATTATCATCCTCAAGATAACAATAACAAACAAGACCAAAATTTATGGAGCATATGGGATCACTTTATTTATCCCTCACAATAATCCTATGAGATCGACTCTTATTATTATTATTCCCATTTTACAGATAGAACAACTGAATATTAGACAGCCTAAAGAACTCAGCTAAAGTTATTCATTTGAATCCTGAGAGAGTTGAGACTTAGATTCACATACTCTGACCCCAGGAATAACTGCTCAGCCACTCATTATACTAAACAGCTTCCAGAAGAACAGCTACTCTATAAACCCTTAGATGGAACTGCTAACAGTTTTTCCTTTTCCTTTCTCAGGGTTCCACACCGCAGATTGTGACCGTTTCTCAGAATACTTCTGAAAAACAGTAGATGAACTAGACTTGCTGGGAACATCCTTCCAAAATTCAAAACCGCAGGCCAGAGCCCTAGCAGGGCATCACAAGGTCAAGATAACAATTATTCCTAAATTTCAAAATGCCTTTCTTTCAAGCTTTTGTGCTCAGATTACAAAATAATTGAGCTGGGAGAGAGTTAACCAAAGATGCAATCCAATACAGCCATGGTAATAAATACTTGAACGATAGGTTATATGTGGGGGTGGGTTAGGGGAGTGTCCTGCTTCTTGTTATTGTCTATTTTGTTTGCTGTCTGTGGGGCCCTCTGTTTCTGGGGGAAATGGTAGTATTTTCGGCAAGGGGCCCTATGGATCCAGGAGTATGGCTGGCCCTGGTACATATGCATTTATTGTAGAAACCCTTTTGGAATGTAAGCCGACTCTTTAGAGTTCAAATGCTCTGCAAGTTGGCTGAGTCTACCCTTTGCCTCAGGGAATACTACAGTTCACCAGAGGAATCAGATCCACTTGTAATCATCAGGAAATTCCTTCAATTAATACAGTCAGTCATCCATTCCAAAGCAAGCCCACGGCCTGCAATTCCTCACCATTACCTGTTCGATCCCCAATAGCCCTTGTTTTTCAAGCTTTATCTTCATGGCCACCATCCTCACGGTAATGCTTCAAGGATTTACTTGGGACCAGTGAAAGTCATCCTCAACGTCCTTCCCTTCAGGGCAGATAGTCTTGTCATTTCCCTCTCTGTCTTCTCCACTGCTGTCCTCTTCGCCTTCCCCGAGCCCCTTCCTGTTCTCCTAGCTGTCAGGCTGTGCCGACATGGTGCCAGTGACCAGTTCCGATCACCAGTGGTAGGAGCCTGGAATGCCCACCGTCACGGCGCTTACTCACCACTTCCTCAGTCCGACCTTGCAGGTTTCTGCTTCGGAACTCCGGAGACTCACGTAAGGGAGTTCAAAGTCCACTAATTTTTTCATGACTAGAGAGAGAGGGGAGTCTTACTGGTTGAAATAGCACAGGTGGTTTACACCCAGTGCTTTAAATTGAGAACATATAGCATTACGTAAAGAATAAAATATAGTAATAGTCTTTCATTTGTATGTAATTTTTAGCTTTCTAAAGTTTATTAAAAATAAATAAATAACATTTTATCTTCATCCGCACCTTGAATGAGCAATATTTTTACACTGTGATACAGATGAAGAAACTGAGGTCCAGAGAGGTCCAGTGCCTTTGCCAGCACACCACAGATCCTAGTGGCCAAGTCAACTCATAAAACCCTTCACTTCCAACTTAAAATCACCTCCCTACAGCTTCTTGAGGACATATGTAAACTACTTTGAGATAACTGATCGCATTTCACAACTAAAAAAACTTGCAATATCTAGAAATGCACTGTAGAGAAAAGCAAAAGGTATGTGAATAGGACTGTCGTTTTTCACTATCTCATTGTATCTTTTTTAAGATTCTAAGAACTTATAGCATCAGTACTTTATAGCAAATATTCCTTAACAAGGAGAGGTGATGGCGTGGAGATGTCCTGATGTCTGGAGTCTGGCACTCCATTCACAGGGGGTCCTGGTGGCTAGAGGCCAGCAGCAGGGTGCACTGGTCAAGGTGGATATCAGGACTGGGACCAGGGCAGGCACAAGAGGAAGTGCAGTTACTTCTGGCTCCTGTCCCTGACACCCTTCTGGAGCCACACGTCCCTAGCTCACCCTGAACACAGACACAACCTCCCATCCCAAACGTTTCATCCAGGAGTGGAGAACAGCCGTAGGACTACACACTGGGGACTTTCCCTGGGGGGTGACCAGCCCCTCAGCAGTGCTCCTGCATCTCTGGGCTGAGCACCTGCCCACACAGCCTTCCTTCCGTCCTTACCGGAGAGCGTGTCCTCTTTGCAGAACCGAATGAGAAATAGGCCGAAGTAGCCCAAGAGCTCCCGACACAGTCCGATTTTGTGTGACACCACCTTTAACCAAAAACACAAGAGAGGGAGGGAGTTAGAAGTGTCCGCCATGTTTACTGTGACGTGCAGAATTTGAAATTGCCTGTCAACACAATAAATAGTCCTTCTATGGGCTAGCATACATTAAAAGAAATGTTTTCTGAATCTAAAATGGTATATACTTGTTTTAGAAATTTAGAAATTAAAAAAAATTTTTGAGTGAAGAAAAAAAATCTGTCCCACCACAATGGTCATTAATTGGCCTCAGCTGAGGCTGGTTGTCCCTTCTCAGAGTCGCCCAGATTGTCCTTGGATTTATTGTCCACTGGAGGGCAGCACTCATTCTCGAGGAACATCTGTCCTGCGGTATTTACCTCCTGGGCTGAATTACCAGATACTGGGAAAAGAGATAGTCCTCACTGCTTGGCTGTCATATAATAGGATACCACAAGCCTGCTTCTCTCTGAGGTCTCCTGTGATATTCAAGTCTAATATGCATGGTGTTTGCACGGTGAAATCCTCAGGTCCCAGGCATGAGCTGCCTTCATTTCATATTCCTTTTTGACCTTCACATCAAAGGGCTTTCATTTCAACAACAGTGTGTGCATTTTTACCAATGGGTCACAAGGCTATAACCTCATAACATTCCCTTAGCAGTAACTACCATGCTACTACCCCAGACTCTCCATCACCACCCACCCAGCTCAACCGTTTCCTTTACAAGACTCGACTCCTGAATGATTTCTTTGCACATCCCATCTGAATTCTCTATAGGTCATCTTTAACCCCCAAGGATTTGCCTTTATAGCACTGTGCATGAGCCAACACTTTAACCACGGCTCCAAGTTCTCATGACGCAAGTTGTACAAAGAGGCTCAAAGAGGGACTTGTCAGAGATGTAAACATTACCTCGTGAGGCAGTCTTGTGAGGAGGATGGTTTGAGTGGGTGTTCTCAATGCAGTCTTACAAATAAAGAACCTAGGAACTTCTCACAACTTTTCCCCAGCACTAGTCCTCGTTCTCATCTCCCTCTCTTTCTTCCCCACGCCCTTGCAAAAAACCAAACCAACAAACAAAAAAACCCAACAAAACACAAAAACAGAGGGCTCCTCTCTGTGTGTGGGAGGAGGGGCTGGGGGGAGTGTGTGCTGGCAGGTAACAGATTATAACTTGCCCTAGAGTAAATACGACCCGTGTCCACTCAGCTTAGATTTTTCTCTTCTCTGACTCATTCAGTGAACTCAGCGAGCTCACATGCCAACGTGAAGGAGTACGAAAGGAGAATGGACCTTTTATAATCTATGAAGACATAAGTACAAGCACCTTCTTTTGAGAGCAGTAAGCATCTACAAAGTGAAATAATAATATTTCCATCTTGGCAAATGTCAATGATGCTCCAAAACACAAACACCAGCAATAAAGCTACATTAGCACAAATGTATAAACTCCGAACAAAAAAGATTTTTAGTTTATTGCTGGTCCTTAAAGAGCCCAGCCAGATGGGGGTGGGGTGGTCAGGAATGGCAGCGAAAGTGGCGCCCGGTGTGCCTGAGAACATACAGAACAACATTTACATTTTCATTCAGGTGACAGGATTTCCAGGGCCTGGAAGAGAATACACATTTCTGCCTGGACAAGTGCTCACTTTTCCTGTTGTGGAAACTCCGAGGGTAGAACCTCCAGTTACACTTAACTAATGCTAATGATGTCAGTGTCATGGGCTGGAATTTCTCACAAGCCAATGTGATGGGAAGAGAAAAAGTACATTTTTCTGAGATCAAAAATGTATCTAATTAATCCTATGCTATTAGTTACAAAGGGAAGTGGACCAAACAGATGGTAGTGTGGAACCCTAGTCTTACTGCCCAGTTCCACACCACCTCAACATCAGTGACAATACCATCATAATAAATAACCAAAACCACTACTGTTGATGGAACATGAGCTATTTCTTACAATTACTTACATCGTCTTGAAAGGCTAAGTAACTTACCCAAACTCACGGAGCTCTCACGTGACATCATTATCATTTGAATCCGGGCCTTGTCCTAACCTCAGCACATCAGAGACCCCAAACTCCCACCAGCAGCCTACTTCAGCTACAGGTGTGTCTAGCTTGGTCAGTGAGCCCAGGATGTGAAAACATGTCAGTAACGATGTTGGCAGGCGGGCGGGCGGGGAGGGGGGTTGCTCTCCAGGCTCCACGGGCCCTACCATTTCCAATTGTCTTACATCTGCAGCTGGGCCTCAGTTACCTGTCCAGCCCCAGAGGTGTCTGAGTTTACGGTCCCCATCCTCAATATTACCGTCCTTCTCCTTCATTTATGTGCCTGTCTCTCATTTTGTAGGTCCCGGGAGAACAACTGAGGGAACTATGATTTTGGGGTTGCTGTTGTTGCTGTTGTTGTTTTATAAATTTCCTCAAGTATCAAGCACCAAGACCTTTCGTACTGTTTAGAAAGATCGTTCTGGAAATCTATCTATACAGGAGATGAACAAGACTGGAAACAGGAAGACTATTTGGGGGCTGCTATAGAAATCTAGCTGAGCCCTGGCCGGTTTGGCTCAGCGGTTAGAGCGTTGGCCTGCGGTCCAGAGAGACCTGGGTTCGGTTCCCGCTAAGGGCGTGTACCTCGGTTGCAGTTTGTCCCCGGCCCCGGTTGGCTGTGCGGGTGGCAGCCACTCGATATGTCTCTTTCACGTCGATGTTTCTCTCTCTCCTCTTTTCCTCTCTCTCCCTCCTGCTCTATCTGTACAAGAAAAAAAAAAAAGAAATCTAGCTGAGAAGCGGAGGCCTCGAAGGAAAGGTGTGGGGGAGAGGAGAGGAGCGGGAGAGGGGGACTAGGAGACAGCCCTGGGATACATGACAGGAGGATTCGGGGTGAAGGAGGACGAGCCTGGGGAACTTCTCAATAGATGGCCTCAGCAACTAGGTGGGTCAGCAGTACAGGGGCCGTGAAAAGGCTGGGTGTGTGTGTGCAGTGACCTTAGCAGGGAGAAGTGTCCAAAATGATCAGAGCCAAGATCTAGAGAAAGGGTGTTTCCTACCTGGGAACACAAACTGATCTTCTAAGGCCAGGAGCATACGCTTGGGCTTAAATCTCCAGGCTAAAGAGAGTCACGGTGCAGAGACCCCCCCCCCCCACATACACACACCCCCTTAGGTAAAGGTGACCTGAGAGCTGGGAGCCCAACAGGGGGAACTTCTGTCTGTTTCAGGCTCAGAAGGCATCAGATACCATGACCCCAGCATGAGAACTTACTGTCCTTGGCAAGGTCATAGAAACTTTCCCACTTCCTCCTGTTTACAAACTTTATATTCTCCTGTGTATGTTTCTCTGGAGGACTGGAACTAAAACCCTTCAAGGAAAGGGGACTGAGAACAGTGTATAGGTATGAAAGATGGTGTCCCCTCCACAGCCGAGCTCAGAGAGAGGACGGGCCCAGGGACAGGGCTGGTCACTGGCACATCTGAAGAAGGGGAGGATGCTTTCTGGGTCTTGCCCTTGGAGTCCTCCGAGAACCGACTGACACTCAAGTCTGGCACAGAATTAGACCTGCTGGGATGTTGGTTTGGGGGGTTTTCCCTGTGAGGGAGGAGAAACAACTCTTTCAGCCTTGGAGAAATCTATGTCACTCTCTCCCAGAACCTGTCACCAGCCCACCTGGGTGTGGCCTGTTTCAGGCTCATCTGGGCTCCACTCTCCTTCCTGCTCCCAACCATGGGGCACCCCATAACAAAGCACTTTGTGTATTTCCAGGGCTCACCCCTGGCTGAGTTCCGGGGAGCTGACAGCAGCCTTAGGAAGACCCTGAGATCGCTGGGAAGTTGATGCCCAAAGGGAGAGTAAAACCAAAGAGGCCTGGGGGGGCTGGCTGTAGCTCAGGTTCCTCGGCCAGTCCCCCAGAAAATTTCAGCATCTCTACAGATAAGTCACCCAGGAAACTTCCCGAAGGTAACTGCATCCTAGTCCCTGCCTTCAAACAATGCTTCCTGCATTCAGTCCTGGGGCAGGAGTCCGGATGAAGCTTACCTCTAGGACTCTTTCGGCAGTGTCTGATGTTAGGATTTCGACTTGCACGCTCCTTCCATCAGGCAGAAAGATGTCCAGAAGGGCTTTCTTGGTAGTGATGCTGAACGTGCCCTGTGAGCAAAGGGAAAACACAGGAAGCCCCGGAGCACCCCCAGTGGGCACCTCACGGCATCAGCAGCACCCTCTCCCCGGGCCCTGAGGGTATACAGTACCCGGAAGCCCAGGAGAACCCAGGGAAGAGATTTGAGGGATGGAGTTTTGGGGGACAGCGTGGGGGTAGGGAGGGGTGTGGAGAGGGGCCAAGGCAATGCAACGACATATAGCTTGAATAATTTCCAAATGAACAAGGCATCCATTTTTGGGAAAAAATCATCCATGTGACCCTTGGTGGTTTCAGATTTTTAATATTTCCAAGCATCCCTAAAAGTCCATAAAATGCAGTAATTTATGATTCTGCTACACCAAATATCTGAAGTGTGCAAACTCTGAGGCCGGCATGTGGAAGCAAGTTGCTATCTGTGCATGGGCGCCCCGCTGAGGGCAACACCCCGTTCAGCGAAGCTCTGCTTGTGCTCATGATTCGCAAGGGCATGTGTGCTGCAAACCTGGGGACGTGTGGGGTTCTCGGATGGCGTGCTCTAAAGTGTCAAGGACACACCAGAGACACTGGAAGGCCATCAGAGTTTAGGAAAGTCCGAAGCTGAGACTGATTGGTGCTCAGTTTCTACAGAGAGAGGGACCCCAGGAGGAGGCGTGGCCAGTTGCTGCCCAGACGGGCCTCACAAAGTGGCTGGATCTGCGGGTGCACTGCTTCTAGTACCTCCCAGCGGGACCCTGTCAGTCCACAAGCTGCCTCATTTCTGGGAGGCTGATTCAGGTCACAGACTTTCTCATCCCGGTTCTATGAGAGGATTAACCCCGAATGCTCTAATATCCACTGTATGCAGGGAGTTCACTCTTTCCTGGCATTTAGAGTGGCACTAGTTATGGGTCATTCCTGGGAGAACTGAGTCACTCAAACCACTGTCTGTGTTCTAAGCCTACTACATAAGCCAGAAGAGTAGTGATACAGAGGGCAGAGCTGGGGGAGGGGGCTCATCTCAGTGACTAAAAAGTTTGCATCCAGTCCAGGTCACCTTCCTTCTTGGTATCAGGAGAGGAGATCCAAATGACCATCTAAAGGTTGTTTGGGGGTTGCAGAGTTGGGGCTCAGGTAAGCTGACCAGGTGAAACCTCTCCCCCATAACAGGCAGCGACTCCCCTCCCCTGAATCCCACTCTTCTCCCACCCCATTCACAGACCACAGAGTAGACACCAGGCTAGGTGGGGAATGCGGGGGGTGAGGGGGGGAGTCCACACTGCCCAGTTACCTCAGACGTCCAGTCATATTAGTGACAGGCTTAGCTTTGACTTTAGTGACAGTGAAAGCTTTGACTTTAAATTTTAACTCTTCCTTCCCTGCTCCCCATACTTACAATGACTAGGTTTCTATGATTCTGAGCCTAACTACTTTAGAAGAGATAATCTGCTGTTTTCTAAATTCAAAGGGTTGGTAAAAAATATTTTTAAATGTATTATATCTACGTATGCAGGTGGCCTGTATATATAGCATATCATTTATGAATAATATATCTATGTATTTATTAGACACATATATAGCATTAGAGTGCTCAGTGCTAATTGCTTCACGCATAGTAGCTCATTTGATTATCATAACCACTCCGTGAGGCATATATACTTACCACTCCTCTTTTTTCAGATGAAGTAAAGTTCACAAAGGTTAAGTAAGTTGTCTGAGGACACATTACTTCTAGATGGTGACAGAGGGAGGGTCCAGGGCCAGAGCTTCACATGACTCTAGGGCCTGGGCTCTAAACAGGCTGGACACCTACCCAGCCGGCACAGGAAGGTTCCAGGATGAGCCTGTCCGCAGCACTGGATGGACCAGATGTTTGTGTAACCCCCGCCCCTGCACATGTTGAAACCCTAACCTCCGCTGTGATGGTATTTGGAGATGGGGCCTTTAGGAGGTGACTAGAGTTAGGTAAATTCATGTCCCTTATCAAAAGAGACACCAGAGAGTTTGCTCTCTTTCCAGGCATGCACAAGGAAGAAATTTATTTCTCACAGTTCCAGGAATTTCTGTTGTTTAACCCACCCAGTCTGTGTTTTGTCGCGGCAGCCCAAGCAGGCTAATACAAATGTAACAGTTACAGCGTTCCTTTCACTCCCCAAAGGGTCAAAGTCTGAATAAGTTATATGGTCACCATGTTACCGCCATAATACCAGCATAAAGTACCTCCCTCCACACAGAATAGGCTTCTGGCTGCATGATTTAAATTAGCCACTTACTGATCACTGTTAATTTTCAAACAGTCCTGGGGCTACTTGTCAGGACTGGCCTCTGATTCAGCAAATGCTGAACCACTACCAAGTTTTCCCTCCAAGTGTCCAGTGCTGGGGCGATGCATTTCCCAGAATCCCTTGAGGATCACTGCAAGCCCTTCCACAGAATGTGAGGGCCACTGGTTTCCCTCTTCCACAGCACTGGCCCTGAGCAACCCCATACAACCTCAGCCACACTTCCTTCACCTCTGCCTTCCCAGGAGAATTCTGGAAGCCTTCCCTAGTTCCCCTGCAGTCGTGATAACTGATTGATGGTGAACCACAGCAAGATCCCAAGACTCCATACTTAGCTGATACATAGGTGGTCAGGGGTTAGGGGTTCCTCAGAGCAACTGTTGCAAATAGTCCCTTTCCAGGTACACCTTGCCTAGGTCTGGGTTCTTAAAGGGTTTGGGCCTATAATCACAAACACCCCTTACCTAGCAGAAAACCACTCACAAAATAAATGGAAAGAATGTTACTGCTTTTTTTTTTTTTTTTTTTCATTTATCTTCAGATAGAGCCGGAGGGAGAGATGGAGGAAGAGAGAGAGCTAAATATCGACTTGAAAGAGATACATCGACTGGCTGCCACCCACACAACCCCAACCGGGGCCAGGGACAAACTGTAACTGAGGTACGTGCCCCTAGCGGGAACCAAACCCAGGACTCTCTGGTCCGCGGGCTGACGCTCTAACCGCTGAGCCAAACCGGCCAGGGCAATGTTACTGCTTTTTGATAAAATTCTAAAGGGAAGCCTAGCATTAATTTAGATTACCTCAATGTAACTCCCAACTCAAACCATATGGCAGACCAGTAAGACATCTACATTATATGAACAGCTAAAATGAAATGAATGCATATCTTTATTAAATGCTTCGGCAAAAGAAAAGTGAGGACGCATTTGGATTGGTAGAGTGAGTCAGACTGTAGCTGGTCCTAAAATCAGACAATCCAGGATTTTATTAAATGGCAAAAGGAAGCCACGTTGGTTCTGGGCAGGGAAATGGAACGATGGAAATGCAGTTACAGAAAGGTTTGGCTGCCAGTGTGGTGAAAATTAGTGGCAACAGGTAAAAATAAAGGAGTCAGGAAATGAATCAGGAAGATATTATCAACACTCATATCCCATCAGGTTCTGAGTCCTGTATGTTTTACATCTTAAACTCGCTCTTGAATCCATCCACTTTTCATCTCCACTGCCAGCACCTTAGACCCAACTGACAACTCCTCCCCCTAGACCCGCCATGGCCTCCCGACTGGTCTCCTGGCTTCCCTCCTACCCACCCACCCCCAACCACACAGCAACCAGAGAAATAGTTCTTAAATGCAAACCTAAGAATGTTCTTCTCTCGCTCAAAACCGTTAATGACCCTCCACTGCTCATGGCACGCTGAAGGAAAACACTGTAGACTCTACTCACACCAACACTTCTGCCTCTAACCACTGCGAGTTAGCACAGAACCCACAGGTTTGGGTTCCGTCCCACAAGGCTGCTTCTCCCTAACTTCAGATGCCAGTCACAAGTCCGCGCCCCACACACTTCTGGCCAACCAGTTATAAATCGGATGTCCTCCTTCGATAATGTTCTAGGACAGCTCACAGAACTCAGGAAAGCTCTTTACTTATGGTTACCCGTTTATCATAAAAGACACAGCTCAGGAGGAGCTGAGTGGGAGAGATGCCCAGGGCGAGGTACATGGGAAGGGTGTAGAGCATCCATGCTCCCCAGGTCACCATCCTCCCAGCACCTCTCATGTCCATGGACCCTGAAACTCTCCAAACCCTATACTTCAGGGACTTTTACAGATTTCAGCATGTAGACGTGATTAATTAGTAACTCAGTGTCCAGCCCTTCCTCTCCCCAGGGCCAGGGAATGGGGCTGAAAGTTCCAGTCCCCCCCTTGAAGCTCTCGAGGGGCCCCAGCCACCAGTCATCTCATTAGCATACAAAGAGACACTCTTTCTTTGAGGTAACATTGGTTTATAACATACAGGTTTCAGGTGCGTAACATTATAATTCCATATATATCATGCTCTTAGAAGCTCTATGTAAGACATGCCTGTCATCCACCCCATCACTCAGAAGAATTGCAGCTCTGTTTCAGGAATAAGGTTCAGAGACAAAAAAAAATGTGTGTGTGTGTGTGTAATTATAATGTATATATAACTACATTATATATGATATATATAATTATATATATTCTGTCATAGACACCCAGCCCTTTGCCACTGGTCAGGATGAAACAAGTCAGTTGGCAACTGCCCCTCGCTTTCCTTCTTCCTTCTTTTCAGCAATTACGCCACAGGTTGCTGTGCCCCGTGGCGCTCTGACTCCATGAGGGAGAGAGAGGAAGGAAGGTGAGGGTGTTTTCCTTCAGCTGGGGCTGCTAATCTTGAAGCAAATGGCTATTTTCACCACAGCATGGAGACAGGCTCCGTGAGAATGAGGTCAACACAGAGACAAAGCGGCGCTTCGCATAGGGAAGAAGAGCTGACAGCCAAAATAGGTTTTCCATTTGTGATTTTGTCCCTCACAACTAAAACAGGTCTGACTAACATGGAATTAGCTGAGCTTCCTACCCACTCCAAGTGCTTATTTGTTGAACGCTCCTGGATATTTTATACGTAATTTGTTTAAAGCTGGGTCTGATGCTACATATCAGAGATTATGTAGTACATTTATTTTGATCAGTGCCCGTACAAATAGATATTTGAATAATCTTG